TGTTTTTTCGCCAGTTGACGGTTTTATTCAGGTTGGTAATGATGCTGTCCTCAGCGTTAGAAAACTGAAACACACACTCATATCTTTTCCACTCCTCTGGTGTGACTGATGAAACATCCAGGCCAACACTCATCTGGAAGGTCCCATCATTGTTGGGAAGGATCTCTCCAGGATCCACACCTTCATGGATCTCCACTCCATCTTTCCTCCAGAACATCATGGCTTTGTCAGGATAGAAACCTGTAGCGTGGCAGCTGACTGGAGAGGAGGGAGTCTTCTGGAGGAGAGACACTGAGGGAAAAACTGGAGAGAGGGAAGGTTGGAAAGAGATGGCGTGAGAATGGATGGAAGTAAATATAAGAGGAAAAATTGGGAAAAACAGGAATGAAAAACAAAGATGAAGACATTTAATAAGGAGATATTAAGAAAATATATTTTATGAGAGAAGCATGTTTAGTGTACATATTAGATGAAAAAATAACAAAGTAGCAACAGACAATATGTCTGGCTGGAACTCAAATCAAATTTTTGAATTATTGAGTCATTAGAGCCAAAGAGTCACCGGCTTTTCAGCAGCTGTATAAGGCTGTATTATGTTATACTTATACCATAGTCAGTTTGTGTAAATGTCTTTCAACTATCCGTTTTAACATCTACCAGCAGCCAAAATCACCAACAGGTTAAAATGGGAAAATGACCAAAATCATCAAAATAAATCACTGGCATTCCATCAGTGCAAGCAAGGCAACCAAAAATGGATATCATTTGAAGGCAAAGTAAAAGTCATCCCTGTCCTTTCATCTCACACAACTAAAATATTCTCCCATGTCTGTTTGCATTACTGCAATCTTCTGGCCACAGTTTGCTGGAATCAGGATTAACTCTGCTTAAGCATGATCCTACTGGGACCTGTGTGGACCATGTGTTTTCAGGGTATGTCTGTGTATTGTTAGACTGGAGCTTGTCATGCTGAGAGGCTGACAGCTTTTTTCTGATTGTTTTCATAAGCACATAGTGGATAAACCTCTGGTCTGGTGATTGTTACCAAAGGGATTTTTCTAGATAAAGAGTCACTTTTGCGACATGGAAAAACTGGCTTTAAGCTCAACTAGGCTTCTACCTGTTTTATTCAAGGCGCTGCTCCCATAGTCCAAAAACAACGTCAATTCGTATGGTATTGCGATACGGAGGAGGGCTTCTGTGTATGTAATTCTGTCACCACCCATCATCGGTTTTGCACTGTAAAGCTCTGGTTTCAGTGGGATCCATGTCTTTGTATTTAGATCAAAATCGAAGATGCCTTCTCTGTCATAACCGAAGTGTAAAAAGCCTGTCACCTCGCCAGAGTTTTTATTCCATTCATTACCAATTATACACTGCAAAATGTGAACACCTGGAAAGACAAAGAAAAACAAAGACTGTAATTATCTGTGTTAATTGTACATTGTAATGCATTTCTGTTCTCAAAGTCTGCATTGTGCTCATGAGTCATGTTAGATTAACTGTAAAAATTTATTGATATCTCTATTGGACCATAATTAGAATCACAGATGAATCAAAAGGAGGTCTGATGTGATTATTCAATATTAAAAGAAAAATATTAAAGACTAGAGGTAAAGACTATTCCAGCCCAGACGTCAGCTGATATATATCTAGACTATAAACTGTAAGAAGCAGAAAAAATGTTAAATGTTATAAATGCACCAGCTAAATCTAACTAGTTTTTAAAAAGTTAAGATTTAGAACAATGAAGTAATTAGGACAAGTAAATTTATGTTTTACATCAGGATTCTTGGTCTCAATTAAGAAGCACAAAAGTAAGGCTGTAAATATCAAGCAAGCATGCAATTTGTTTATAAAGGGAAAAAAGAAATAAAGATGGGTTTTAAGACACGTTTTTTAAAAAATGGACAATGAAGGGCCCTCTCTAATGTGCAGGGGCAGGTTAGGAGCAGCAATAGAGAAAGCCCTGTCCCCTCTGAGCCTCCTCTTGAACCTGGGAGCAGCTTGTCAGCTGACCTGAGAAACATGTGGGGGGTGATTAAGGATGAAGAAGCTCAGAGAGGTAAGGAGGGGCAAGATGGTTTATGCATTTAAAAACAAACATAAGAATTTTAAAATTAACTCTAAGATATAAAGGCAGCCAATGGAGTGAAGCTAGGATGGGAGTTATGTGCTCTCTTTTGCAAGTTCCAGTTAAAAGTCGAGTAGACCCATTTTGAACTAGCTGTAGATGAGAGAGAAGACACTGTCTTACTCCAAAATACAGTACATTACAGTAATCCAAACGAGATGAGAAAAAAAACATGGATTACTGTGCGGCCTGGATAAAATGGGTCTTACCATTGTCAAGTGCCTTAAGTGCTGAATACTGGACAATAGCCCTAATTTGAGTGTCCAATTTAAAATCACTGTCCATCTTAAAAACCAAGTTAGTAACAATAAGTTTAAAATACACTGACAATTTTTAAGTCATTAATTATTTTAATTAATTATACATTAATCAGTTTTATTTAGATATATCCATGATGATATGACAGAATTAAAGAAAATACTGTACCTTCTCTTTGGTTTAAATGTTGGTTCAAATCAGAAATCAAATGTGTGTAAAAGTTTACGTGGGCCTCAAAACAGCCTTGGGTGAACCCCTCAAAGATATCAGGTTTGTCATCAAATAATTTTTTCACCCAATCCTGTCTTGGTTCCAATATTTTCTTGCTGGCATCACAATAAACCACTTCTATGCCATCAAGCACTCCAACATACATGAATTCTGAGATGTTTGGGTGTCCAGAGCCTCCAGTGACAAAATACTTCAGAATATTGCTCACTGTAGGACAAAAGTATATAATGTTAGTAAATAACTCAATAAATGTCTAGATTTTGTGTGCACATGATCTAGCTTCGCAAAGAAAGAAAGTATTCCTGTCTAACCAGATTAAAAGGTATTGTGCTAAAATAAATAGAGTAGAATTACATGAAATGAATGAAATATTAAGTGAAGTCGATTCATATGCAAATTCATTAGAAACCAGTTTGTCGTGTTGGGCTGGCATCAGGCCTGGGTATGTTTTTTTTCTTTCAGTGGTAGGATAAGGAAGTTGTATGTTGGTTTTGTTCTTTTCTTTCTACGTGCCCAGTCTTACTTATATGTAATTGGAAATACATAATAATTACACCAAACAAACAAAAAACGTTTAGTTCAGTTTATTACATAAAACATTGAGGGGGTGAATGGTGCTGTAAAAACCGGTAAAGTTTTGGCACAACTTAAAAAACCCAAGAAAATCAAGATCATTGTCATTTACAAATAAAGCATATCACCTCTAATTGTGATTTAAATCTAAAGATGCAATGTTTGTTGTGGGTGGATGGGCAAAACACACAGGATAGGACAAGGGAGATCACAACACAGACAAAGGAAAACGCAGGGCTTGAATACACAGAGGGAGCAATCAGGGAATTGGAGACAGGAGGGAAACACAGCTGGGACAAATCAGGGCTAACGAGACAAGGGAAGCAAAACCAGATACAGTGGAGTGAGACACAGACTTTCAAAGTAAAACAGGAAACATAACACAGAGAAGCGGACTAGACAATGGGATACAGCTGACAGGCGAGACAGAACAACCATGGAACACAGAGACAGAAACCAGAAGACTAAAACTCTAACATAAACCACACAAAGAACCTAAACTTAGAACAATCATATAACCCATTTGATAAAGAAAGCTAGAATTTAATGAAATAAACAAAATCAAAAACACAAAAACTGGGTCATTGACCCAGGCACCCTAACAATATTCTTAGTAAGCAAGAATATTCCTTTTGTTTGTTTTCAAACCTTATCTGAATCCCAAGGCCAGATAGGTATTGTGGAGGGGAAACTTTAGAATGCCCCCCTTAATTCTATACACCTCAAAATTCATGATAAATGATTCTTCTCATCTTTACGTCCTTCAATCCCTAATTTGAAATCTTTAAAAAAAATCCCCCAATGTCCACTAAAGTCATATTCAAGGATTGCTGATTTTCTTGGAGTTAAAAAACATACCAAGTATAAAACAATAATTTCTTATTTCAAATGCAGTATTCTGAATAATGAATACATTCTCCTTAACTTTATACTGCTCTGTAACATTTGTTTTAGTGAGTTTGATTCTGGAATTTTGGTTATGGTGAACCTGGATCTTGTTTACAAGTTATTCACACAGGAAATGACAGTTGGACTCGTGTGAAGGGAGCTCACACAGCAGTATCAGTCTTTCTCGTTTTAACTGATCTCTATCCAAGTAATCTTTCCAATAAGACAATATATATTTAATTACACTTTGGATACCAGGGTTTAAATTATATCATAGTATATATTGGTCTTCACAACCGACAGCAATAATAATAATAATAATAATAATAATAATAATAATAATAATAATAATAATAATA